TACTGTTATTTGAAGCACATATATATATATATATATATATATATATATATATATACATATATATATATATATATATTCACATAATTTTGCAAAATTTTGTAACCTCTTACTAATATACAATATTAAAATTCAGTGGAATAAAAAATATATTTAATGTGCCATGGAATCTTAAAAAAGTTAATTTTATAAAGATATTACGTAACTATGATAAAAATTTGAAACTTGTAAACCAAGAATGTTAAATATATTATTCATTAAACACATTTTGCAGGCATGTTCATCGCGAATTGTGCTCGATATCTCATAAATTAAGTGTGATATTTGGATTGCAAATGGTAATGCAAGTTATAGTATTTCGAATATTAACAGTTCAGCTTGTTTATGAATATTATGAAACAATCACGACGGTAAGTGTCAAAACTACGTATCAATTAGCGATAAATACTTCTGATAATTACATATGGATTACATTTAATGTCATCAAAATGATTGCCTTTAATTATATCTGCGAGGAACTTAACACTAAGGTACACAAATTTACACAAAATACTATACAATCAAATAATTATAATAAAATAATAATCAAATGTAAAGAAATTACATATACATATATTTATGTTAAAAAATGTGCTCTTTTTTTAGTCATTTACTTTAAAATACAATTACTCAAAATTTTTCCAAATTTTAAATTATTCGAAAATTATAATAATTTTCCTATAGCTTATTTTAATCCATGTATGTATATATACATTATATAAATAAAAGAATTATATTATAACATTAGGCAAATAGAACCGAGTTATTTCTGAATAGATTAACAAATCTTCTCTTTGACATCGAAACACAAGAAAATGTAAGCAATATACAGTAATTTAAATATATGTACGTTTACGCAAAATTTAGCATTTTAATTAATTATTTACAGATCATGCAATTTCTATTGCAAATATTACAGAGGCCATTAAAAATCTCAGGACTTGGATTTTTCTATTTCGGTCATAAATTCACCCTTGAGGTGTGTAGTTATTTTCCAATAAATCACTTTAATTAACTTAATTTTAGATAAATTCATCAAAAATTAAATTTTAAGTTTAAAAAATATAAATTTATTTAAATAACTAAATATTTGTCATACAATAATATATTGTAAAAAAATGCAAATAATATATTTATATAAAACAATTTTTTCAGTGTATAAATTACATTGGGACAATCATAATATTTGCGCTTCAATCACAACCCTAAAAAGATACTATCTAATAAAAAGCAGAATGTTGTAAATATTATTTGAATTAATATGTACTTTTTATTGTTGTACTTCCGCAATCTTATACCAGTTATTTATAATAATTTCATTAGTGCTAATCAAAATGAATGCTATCACATATCTCGTTTGCTAAGCAATAAAATTTTAGGCACGCAATAATCTATGTCACACAATAATCTGAGCAAAACAAAATATAAGACTAAAATATAGTTACAGTAATATTCAATTTTATTTCATGTATTTAAAATAAAAATGCGTTATAATATATTAATCAACATATTATCAGAATATATTAATCAAATGTCATTCTCACAATATGTTACAGCAGATCAATTATTTTAATATTTATATATATATATATATATATATATATATATATATATATATATATATATATATACAATAGTTACAAATTATAACAATCCATCAATGTTAATCATCGGCAAAAGATTTAGCACTGGCACCTGCAGAAACTTTCAATTAGTTTTAGCACCAATTATATGGATAATAATCATAATTATGCATGTAGTTGAGATTTCTCAAATTTTTTGCATATATATAATGCTACCTTATATACTTCATATTTTATTTACGTTTGCTGTGAATTAAACATTTCTATAACCTTTATCAAGTTTTTACAGTATTTCAGAAAAAAATATCAGCATATAATTATAATCAATGAGCATATTCGTTATTTTATAAATTTTTAGATAATATATAGTTACGTACAAACTTGCAAGTAATTAATATATATCAAATGTATTAATGTTGTAAATATATATTTGTTCTATATAAAAATAAACGACTCGTAATTCTTGTTAAATTGACCGCGTAGCATCCCTGTAAGTTAAGTTTTAATAATAGCTAATAAAAATATATTTTTATTATATTTTAATATTATAATATGGATATACAATTTTTTATCGAAAATGTATATATATCAATTGCCATGTCAAAGAAATATAATACATATGTGTATAAGATAATTTTTTTCCAGTGAGAAATACTGCATCTATTATAATAATGATATTATTAGCAAAGCCATAGAAGAAATACATTTAAAAATTATATAAATTTGACAAAAAACTAATAAAATTTACAAACGCAAAACTTTTTTTCCCGCTTTTTTCTACAATTCAAAGTAATTTAGCTGTTTCACTCTTAGAAAGACAACTTCATTTGCAGTTGATCGATTTCTTTTAATCTACATAAGTGCTAACGCGAGTTATTGCTAAGTTTTAAAAAATTGTTAGTTGTCTAAATATTTCGCATATATCAATTAATATAAAAATTTTATTATTTCATATTATCATGATCAACTAATTTTCCTTCATAACTGAGTTCCTAGTTACATTCCGCGAAGAAGTCGTCATGAAGAATGTTCAAGCGGCAATATCTCCACTTTTAATTGTATTGTTTTTATGTGGATTCGGGGTGTTCGAATATCCTCAAAGTCGAGCAAAATTATATTTAAGCATCTTTTATATTCTGATAAAATGGTTGCTTCACATTTATTTTATCATTAAAGCAGAGTTAATTTACCAAACATTCAAAATTGAACTTCTTGTCGCTGGTGAAATAACTTCAATTATCGGAGTGTTGTACATGGTCCTTACTTTCTATTATAATAAGGTATGCTAATTTGATGTAATCATTAAAAAAAGATTTTTTTTATTTTGTCACGTACACTTGCAATATAAATTGATAAGAAAATCATGTAGTTGTATTATAAGCCTATTTTAAAAATGTCTCAAATTCAAGTCAAAGTTTAGTCACGCAGAACACGATATAAAATATTTTTCTTTAATACGTCATTCATTTTAAATTTGCAACAACACACAATGACAAATTATTGTTAAGTTTAATTAAAGAAAAATATTTTTTGCGTCATATCATGTTATGGGATTCACTTATAAAATAAATCAACAAAAATATTACAAATTTAAAAAATATAATTACAATCCGTTTTTTTGCAGCAAAGCTTTCAATAATAATTTTATATTTCTTTAAAATAAAATAAAAATATTAGTATCTAACTGCAAGCTTTTAGAAGATATATTAATATTACACTAATATTTAAATATTTTTAATTGCTATTTCACATTTTGGATTATATATTTGTATATTACATATAAATATATATATATCATCTAAAATATTAATATAAATATCTTTGTCTTTATAATGTATTGGTTGTTTTAAAATATATAAATTTGTATTGTAATGTACCTATTTTTTTCAGAAATTTAAAGATTGTCTAAATAGATTAAATATTGTGAACGAGACATTAAAGAAGCTTGGAAAGCAGAATAATTATATAAAACTGCGCAAACAAATTATATGACTGATTATTGGATGGATTATTTTGATCATTATCATGAATATAATCAGTTACTTATGGTTCTGTGTACGCATCTCAAAATCTCATACCGTAATGGCCATATGCTTGGCAATAATTTTTAACCTTCCGTATCAAATCATAATAATTTATGATTTACATTATATGATATTACTAAGGTTTGTACATATAACATTGCAATGTAATAAAAATTATTTTTAATAGAACACAAAATTATCAACTTAAAATTGAATTATCATTAATGAAACAGAATAAAAAGTTCATAAATTAATTATAAATAACATTTTGTTTTCTCATTCCATGCAGATATATAGGAAATCAATTTGAACATGTCAATCAACATATTCAAAAATTAACGGAGTTGAAGAAACAACAAGTAAGACATGCTTGGGCAACATCCACTTCGCCCTTTATGAAGCGTCAGATGGCCGGTACCGAAACCTCTAAGCACAACATATGGCTTTTAATGTAAGAATAATCAAAAGCTTCTAAAAATGCAGTAGCAGCTTTCAAATTGCCTACTGTGATAATAATAATTGTAGTAAAAGATTTATATATACATATATTTTAAATTTACATACTTGAAAAACGACATTAATTACTGATACTAATTTGAAGCGCGCGCGCGCGCACACACACACACACACACACACACACACAACACATGTGTGTACATATAAAAAAATTATGTGAATATATATATATTTACGTAATTTTGCAAAATTTTGTTACAAATATAAAAATATTCCCTTACAAATATAAAATAATTCAGTAAAATAAAAAATATATGTAATGTGCCATGGAATCTTAAAAAATTAATTTTATAAAGAGAATATTACGTAACTATGATAAAAATTTGAAACTTGTAAGTCTATAATGTTAAATATATTATTCATTAAACACATTTTGCAGGCATGTTCATCGCGAATTGTGCTCGATATCGCATAAATTAAGTGCGATATTTGGATTGCAAATGATAATGCAAACTATTGTATTTCGAACTTATACAGTCCAGTCTATTTATGAATTTTATAAAACATTCACGACGGTAAGTGTCAAAGCTACGTATCTATTAGCAATAAATATTTCTGACATTTACCTATGGGCCACAATTAATGTCGTCAAAATGATTGCCTTTAATTATATCTGCGAGGAACTTAGCGCTAAGGTACACAAATTTACACAAAATACTATACAATCAAATAATTATAATAAAATAATAATCAAATGTGAAGAAATTACAACTCAAAATTTTTCCAAATTTTAAATTATTCGAAAAATATAATAATTCTCCTATAGCTTATTTTAATCCATGTATGTATATATACATTTTATAAATAAAAGAATTATATTGTAACATTAGGCAAATAGAACCGAGTTATTTCTGAATAGATTAACAAATCTTCTCTTTGACATCGAAACACAAGAAAATGTAAGCAATATACAGTAATTTAAATATATGTACGTTTACGCAAAATTTAGCATTTTAATTAACTATTTACAGATCATGCAATTTCTATTGCAAATATTACAGAGACCATTAAAAATCTCAGGACTTGGATTTTTCTATTACGGTAATAAATTCACCCTTGAGGTGTGTAGTTATTTTCCAATAAATCACTTTAATTAACTTAATTTTAGATATATTCATCAAAAATTAAATTTTAAGTTTAAAAAAATAAATTTATTTAAATGATTAAATATTTGTCATACAACAATAATATATTGTAAAGAAATGCAAATAATATATTAAAAAAAAACAATTTTTTCAGTGTATAAATTACATTGGGACAATCATAATATTTGCGCTTCAATCACAACCCTACAGAGATACTATCAAGTAAAAAGCAGAATGTTGTAAATATTATTTGAATTAATATGTACTTTATTGTTGTACTTCCACAATCTTATACTAGTTATTTATAATAATTTCATTAGTGCTAATCAAAATGAATGCTATCACATATCTCGTTTGCTATGCAATAAAATTTTAGGCACGCAATAATCTATGTCACACAGTCTATGTCACACAATAATCTGAGTAAAACAAAATATAAGACTAAAATATAGTTACAGTAATATTCAATTTCATTTCATATATTTAAAATAAAAATGTGTTATAATATAATATATTAATCAACATATTAATCAGAATTTATTAATCAAAAGTCATTCTCGCAATATGTTACAGCAGATCAATTATTTTAATGTTCATATATATATATATATATATATATATATAATAGTTACAAATTATAACAATCCATCAATGTTAATCATCGGCAAAAATTTAGCACTGGCATTTGCAAAAAGCTTTTAATTAGTTTTAACATCAGTTATGTGAATAATAATCATAATTATGCATGAACGATTACGGTTTATCGAATTTATGGCACGTACATAATGCTGTCTTATATACTTTATTATTTTATCATTTACGTTTGCTTTGAACGAATCATTTTTATAGCCTATATAACAATTGTTATTGCAGTCTTTAAGGAGAAAATATCAGCATATAATTATAATCAATGTGCATATTTGTTATTTTATTAATTTTTAGATAATAGTTATGTACAAATTTCGAGTAAAATAATTAAAAAATATCATTTGTATTAATGTTGTAAATATATGCTTGTTCTATATATAAATAAGACCTGTTCATCTTGTTAAACCGACCGTGTAGCTACCGTGTAAGTAAATCGATTATTTTTTATCATAAGTACATCTTAATAAAATTACAAAGATCTAGTGTTACCAAGTGGAGCAACTAATGCAAACATCAGTTCACATTTAAACCGGTATGTACAATGATTAAGAATATTCAAGCAGTTTTAAAACCGTTTCTGATAATTAGTTACGTGTGCGGTTTAAGGATTATCGAATTCCAAACTGTTCCAAAATTGTGGTTCAACCTGCTATATATATTATTTTTCTGGTTAACTTATTTCCTTCTTTTGATATATACAGTCCTTCCTCATATTCTACATTTCTTTCCTATAAGTTACCACATTTGGTTTTGTTTTAATGTATTTATAACGTTAATAACAATTATATATGGAGTGTATTACAATAAGGTAAGACAAATGTGTTAGCTTATAATTCATTAATAATAAATAATATTTTTAATCGTATATTTAATTATGACTAAAATAATAATGGTTCAAATAATTTAATTTATGTGCTAAAGTAAGCTAACTAGACATAACATATGTATAATCTTCATTTAACGAAATAAAATGCTATGAAAGAAGTGAAATGTTTTATGTCTTCGTATAGTATATATTATTAAAAAATTCTTTTCTGATAAATATAATATATCTGATACATCTATTCAAAAAATATATATAGAATATTTAAAAAAGTAATATAGCTTTTCAAAAATTATGATAATAAGATTATTAGAATTAACAAGTTTCTGATAAAAAATTATTGATTTATAAATTTAAGTTTTCGTATAATCTTTAGTTATTTATCTATTGTGTATTTTCTTGAAACAGAAATTCAGAAGATGTATAGAAAGAATGAATAGTGTCGACGATACTTTAGAACAACTTGGAGTGACGGCAAATTATCAAAACATACGCAAGAAAATAATATGGCTCATGTTCGGATGGTATATAATAATAATGACAATAAACTATTTGAAGGCTCTATATCTAAAACATCAATGTTATATTAATATCGCAATGGCTATCTATATTTCTAGCCTACAAAATTTTTGTATTTACATTAATTTTCTTGATGATATAATTTTCATTAGTATTCTTGGGTTTGTATTGTCTTATATCTATCATAATTATTCTAACAAAGTTATGTGAATAAAATAAAATTCTAATAATATCTAATAATAATATTATCTTTATTTGCTTTATTTATGTTCAGATACATAGGTCTAAAATTTGATCAAATCAATGAAAGTCTTCAAAATATAGTGAAAAATAATCAACATGAAATACAAGTCGAAAAGAATCACGTATTACAGTCGCGTCAATGCAGACTTTTTGGAACTTTAAGCAACAAATACATAATATGGATTGTAATGTATGACACAAATTTAATATAAATTGCAAGGATTTTTTTATATATAACAATAAATTTTAATATCACATTTACGCAGACATCTTCATATGGAGTTATGTAAACTATCACGTGAAGTAAATGCAATGTTTGGGCTACAAATGACTGTAAAAATGGGATTATATTTCGCATTTATAGCGTTAAATTTTAATGCAATATTCAACGCAATATTAAGCATAAAAAATTACGTCCAAATAGAGTGGCAACTTCTTGTGATACTCTTTATATACATTATTATGTCGATTATAAAAGTATTCCTCATTAATTATACATGTGAAAGAGTCAGTGTCAAGGTATCGATTCGTTTAAACATTGCAATTTAAAATGTTTTTTCTTTAATAATTAATTATTTTTAAGTAATATTAAAATTAAGTTACCGAATCAAAATAAAGTTAACAGTATTTTTTACATTTTAACATTAGGCAAATGCAACAGGAAATGTTATAAATAATGTATCATATTCTATTTCTGATGTCGAAATTCGTGAAAATGTAAGTCCTAATATGAATTTGAGTTTTATTATTATAATTTGCATTGACTTAAGCTTTTAAAGATCTAAATTAAAACTGAAGCTGAGAGAGAGAGAGAGAGAGAGAGAGAGAGAGAGAGAGAATACCATGAGTTATGTATAAATAATATGACTATTCTATTTATACAGATTTTACAACTTATGTTACAATTGACTCAATCGCCGCTCAGATTATATGGACTTGGACTGTTCCAGTTTAGTTACAAATTCCTTCAAGGGGTACGTAGTATATAACAATGATTATTTATTTCAAATTGTAGATGTCACTAGATATATTTAACAAATGTAATTGCTTTTTTTTAGTTCTTCTCCTCTATTGCCACTGTTTTAGTGGTAATACTACAAGCGCAAACAAATAAGTAGATACTTTATAAAAATACAGCTAATATAAAATAAACACACTACATATATTGAATGTGTATGTACGTACATATTGATAAATACGTAACTGTAATTTTTTTATATCAATTAAATAAATTTCGTATGTATTATGGTGATACATATACTAATATTATATAATTTTAACTAATGCTAATTAAAATTTAGTGTTATTACTGGAAATTTTATTATATTTAATACGTAATTAACAATAACTGTACAAATGTCAAAATAAGGCAACAATTATTTCAAAGAAGAAACACTATCGATTATTGCGTCATTAATGTATGCATGGATATAAATAAAAACATTCGTGATCAGACTTTTTTGATGAATCGCGATATGGATATTAAGGTCGATAAATGTTAATTATGCATAAGTACAGGAATTATAAATGTACATTGTATTTCGTATTCAATAGGATAATATATAGTTTTCAATCATGATATTCGTTTTGATCATAATACGTTTGGATTTTCGTCACTCGTGATAACTTATTTTTCGACTTTACTTTTAAAAAAGATACAAAAAAAATATTTTAAAAAATAATATATCTTTATATAAATAATAATAATTATCTTATTTAAATTCTAATAATTCTAATAAGACATGGGATTTTGTACATGCGAAAGTTTCCCCGTTAGCGCTTTTAATCTTTCTTCTTATTCTACCCATTCATATATCGTTCATTCGGATTTAAAGAATTTCTTTTATATAGATCGTAAGTCATTTTTAGTTTACACGTGACAAATCGTATAGAAATCAATGAATGAACACATATTCAAAAAATATCTTACTGTCGATGCTTCGAAAGAGAAAGAAGAAAAGATCTTTCTTCTTATTCTACCCATTCATATATCGTTCATTCAATACGATTTGTCACGTGTACGATAAAAATAGCTTACGATTTCTAAAAAATAAATTCCTCGAATTCTTTAAATACCGTAAAGCTATTTTTAGCTTTCAGGAATTTAAAGAATTTCTTTATATAAGCCGAAAGAGCTATTTTTGGCTTACGGAATTTGAAGAATTTTTATTTAGAAATTGTAAAAGCTATTTTTATCGTAAAGATGACAAATCGTATAAAATCAATAAACGAAAACAGATACTTAAAAGATCCTAAAGTACTGACGGTAATTCGAGAGAGAAAAGGAGTCGCGTCGCGCGGACTTATATACCCATACTGGAGGTATTTCACATGCGAGAAAGTTTCCCGATAGCGCTTTGCGCTCCCTCTGGCTATATAAGTCCGCACTACGCGCGGTTGAGATGTCATGCTTTCGGTAGAGTTCTTTCTTCTGGATTATTTTCGTCCATAAATTTTTTTTTTTTTTTTTTATATATTATTTATTGACTACTGATACGATGTACTAGGTGTGCGCTAAAAATAGATTGCGGAATTTAAAGAATTTCTTTTTATAGATTGTAAGCTATTTTAGCGAACACGTGAGAAATCGCATAGCAGTAGAATGAATGATGAATGGAAACAATTGATTCAATGAGTTTTTTTAGAAGAGTGATAAAGTTATATTCGATCGTTATTAAATAGTCTTATTGTACCAGAATTAAAATTTATTACATGTATCTCGAAAAGAAATTTCCTTCGAAACATAAAATACATTAGACTACACAAAATTATTAATAAGCACTTTTTGCAATACATTAAATAAAATTTATTCATAAAAGAATCCCATAAAGAATTCCATAAAGAATATAAAATGTTATTTTAACATGCACATATACGTATCTATTATTGAAGAACCAGGAGTACGTTATTTAGAGAATAAAATCGAAATTCTAAATATTTATTTATATTCAAAATGTATCCGTACCCTGTTTCAAAAATTTAAAGACTAAAATTACTTGTTATTGTGGACAATTACATTAAAGAAAATTAAAAAACAAATATTCGATTCTCTCCCTCTCTATCTATATATATTTATATGTATGCATTTATACAATACATATAAATATACACAATACTTTCTGCAACGTTGTACTTTTCTGCAATTGTTCTTGAACATTTATTAATAAATATGTGTACACACATATTTTTTAATAAATGTCATTAAATTTAATTATTAAATCAATATTTTAATAACCATAAGTACTTTAATTGAAATTACAAAGGTCTACTACTGTTAGTATACAGTTCTACTAGCACAATCATCAGTTCAAAATCGAAACGGTGTATACAATGATTAAAAATATTCAGGATGTTATAGCACCGCTTCTGATAATTAGCTATGTGTGCGGTTTAAGGGTTATCGTTTTTTGGCAAGACCGTTCAAAATTATTATTCAGTCTGTTGTATATATTATTATTTTGGTCAGTTTTTTTCTTCCTTATGATTACTATAATAATTCCTAATGTGGTAATTTCATATTTCAATGATTATTACGTATGTCTTTTGTTGAACTATGTTATAACATTAATAACAATTGTGCATGGAGCGTATTACAATAAGGTAAGACGAATGATAACATGTGATTTATTAATAATAATTTATATAATAATGATTAATAATAATTAATAATTTTGATCGTATATAAAGCTAACTAGATATAACTTATAATTTTTATTTTGCGAAATAAATGCTGTCAAAAAATGTGAGATGTTTTGTGTTTCCACACTGTATATATTATTAAAAATTTTGTGTTGTTACATATATATATGATAAAATTATTTTTTAAAATATATAAAGAATATTTAAAAATGAGTAATATATCTTTTTAAAAATATGATAATTAAATTACTTAAATTGATAAAGTTATATCTAAAAAGATGACACACACAATAAAATTGTTTAATTAAATAAAACTGTAAATTATTAAGCTTTTACATAACTTTTAATTATTTATCTATTGTATATCTTCTTTTAATAGAAATTTAGAAAATGTATAAAAAGAATCGCCATTGTCGATGATACTTTAGAACAACTTGGTATAACGACAAATTATAAAAAGTTACGAAAGAGAATAATACGGTTCATCTTAGTATGGTTTATGGCAATCATAACAATGGATTGTTTAAAGTCTATACATATGCGACATCAATATACTAATAATAGCGCAATGGATATTTTTTTTCACAGCTTAATAAATTATAGTACTTACTTTAATTTTATTGAAGACCTGCTTGTCCTTAGTATTCTTAGGTTTGTACATTTTATATGTATCTTAATTACTCTAATAATAAGCTATATGCATAAATTACATAAATATATTACCACCCTAAATTAACAATATATATATAATACACATAATATTATTATTATAATATTATATTTATTAGATTTATTTATGTTTAGATACGTAGGTCTAAAGTTGGATCAAATTAATGAAAATCTTCAAAACCTAGTAAAAAATAATCAACATGAAACACAAAGAAGGAATCACGTGTTAGAGTCACGTCAATGCAGACTTTTCGGAACTTTAAGCAACAAATACATAATATGGATTGTAATGTATGACGCGAATTTAATATAAATTGCAAAGATTTTTTAAACAATGAATCTTAATAACGCATTTACGCAGACATCTTCATTTGGAGTTATGTCAAATATCTCGTGAAATGAACTCAATGTTTGGGCTACAGATGACTTTAAAAATGGGATTATATTTCGGTTTTATAGCATCAGGTCTTCGTGAAATATTCAACACGATATTTATCAAAAATTACGTGCTAATAAAAGGAGAATATTTTGTGTTACTCTTTCTATTTATTATTATACACATTTTTAAACTATTCCTCATAAATTATATGTGTGAAAGAATCAGCATCAAGGTATTGATTCACTCAAACATTAAAATATTCTTTATAAGATTTAACTTTAAAGCGTAATTATAATTGCACTAAATATGTAATTAAAATATAATTGATTATACTAAATAATTATAATATACTAAGCAATTATATCAAAATTAAATTTTATCAATTCAAAAATAAATTCAACAGTATTTTGTACATTTTAACATTAGGCAAACACAACAGGAAATATTATAAATAACGTATCATATTCTGTTTCTGATGTCGAAACTCGTGAAAATGTAAGTTTTAATATTAATTTGTTCAGACAGTTTTATAATCAAAATTTACATTGACTTATATTATTATGAAGATTTTAATTTGAAGCAAATCTGAAAACTATGAGTTGTGTGCATAACAGAACTGTGTTTCTTTTCTCTTTATATAGATTTTGCAATTTATATTACAATCGACTCAATCGCCGCTCAGATTCTATGGACTTGGACTGTTTCAATTTGGTTTCAAATTCCTTCAAGGAGTATGTAGTAATTATTATATAATATTATTACTTATTGCAAATAGTTTACTATATATGTATATTTAAAAAATGTAATTGTTTTTTCAGTTCTTCACGTCTATTGCCACTGTTTTAGTTATACTAATACAAGCGCAAATAAATAAGAAGGTACTTGAATGAAAACAGTTATAATATATAATATAGCTATAATATAATAAGCACACTATATATATAAATAAATGTTTAATATTTAGTCTAAAAAATCTCAAACATATTATAACATTTTCTCACATACGTATATTTTTGGTAATTATGTAATTAGCTGTATTATATAATCATAATTTATTGGAAATATATTGCATATGAATCACTTTACATTATTTTTATGATAATTTCGTATCTTGTTTCTATTGTCTCAAACTATTTTCGAACAATTATAATCGTTTCTTGTATAAAAGTAATTTTACTTAAAACTTGTATCACTCAATTTCTATCCTTATATTGAATAACGATATAATGCAGTTACATTATATTTTACTTCTTTAATACATTTTTATTATTGTAAATTAAAATTAATTAAATTATTATTTGAAATTATTTATTACTTTTTAACATACAGCCATACAAATATGAAAATAACGCGATAAGTATTTAAAGGAACATAATCGATAATTTTATTATAAATGTATTTGTTTAGAAAATAAACATACGTTTTCATCGTCAGACTTTTTGCGATGCTTGCGCGTTATGGAGAATTCAACAGATCGATAATTGTAATATGTGAAAGTGCAGCAATTACGAATATATCGTCATGTACCGTATCTGATGAACACTAATAATAATAGTTTTCAATCGTGATGATACCCGCTATGGCTTAATACGTTTAAACATGGTTTAATACGTTTTATTTATTTATTTACTTATTTATTTATTTATTATTAATTTATGTTATCGTGATCATTCCACTATTTTTTATATAAGATACAAGAGTGTCTTTTATAAATCGTTTTTCCAACATTCATATTTTCCAAGATTAAATTATTCTATATATTATTATGAATTAAGTTTGGAATATATTATGATAAGGTAAGAAAATATTAATGCAATATGTAGTTGAAAATGAAAGAATAGAACTTGCCATAGTTAAATCGCTGAGGTTGACATGATTTTAATATATTAGATTATGCACAATTATTTATAAAAATAAGTAGCTCTCACAGTTATATTTAAAATAATGTATTTGTTAATTAAATTAATGATATGGCATTTTTTTTTTCTAGAATCGAATGTATAAACTTTAGTAAATCGATATTTTAATCTTAACAAGTACTTTAACTGAAATTACAAGTATCCACTACTGTTAATGCGCGAATGCAACTAGTGCAATCATCAGTTCATAATCTAAACGATATGTGCAATGATTAAGAATATTCGAGCGGTTCTATCGCCGCTTTTGATAATTAGTTATATGTGTGGTTTGAGAATTGTCGAATTTCCGACAGACATTCCAAGACTGTGGCTTAGTCTGCCGTATATATTATTTTTTTGGTCGACTTATTTCTTCCTTCTAATATATAAATTAGTTCCTTTTATTAGATTTAATTATACCTTGGTTTATTGCATTTGTCTTTTATTAAATATTTCTACGACATTAATAACAATTGTGTTTGGAGTGTATTATGATAAGGTAAGAGAAATTTTAACATGTAATTTATGAATAATAAATAATTTTAATCGTACGTATTTCTGTAGCTGCAATATGTCAAGTAACTTGTTTTGTACCAAGCTGATTTGATGTAACTTATAATATTTATTTAGCAAAAAGAAATACTAAAAATGTAAAACGGTTTATGTCTTCGTACGAGTGTATTATTAAAAAAAAATTCTTATTTGCCACATATATATTTGCATATAGCAAAATTCTTTTTAATAAAATATAATGAATATGTAAAAAAGTTATATATTTTTTTAAATACGATAATTACATTATCTAAATTAACAATGTAAAATTGAATATATAATTATAAAAATTAAACTCCTAGATAATGTGTAATTAATTATACATTGTGTATCTTTTCTTGCCATAGAAATTTAGAAATTGTTTAAAAAGACTTACTATTGTTGACGATACTTTGAAACAATTAGGAACAACGGCAGATTATAAAAAGTTATATACAAAAACATTATGGCTCGTTTTGGGATGGTTCACAACAATCATATTAATGATGTATGGTGAAATACAATGGTTAAGATATCATTGTGATTCTAATGAATTAATAATCTTTTATGCTCCCTTTCTATTAAATTTTTGCACTTATATGAATCTGATTGATGACTTAATTGTTGCTAGTATTATTGGGTACGTGTATTTATCTTTCTTTATATATTCCAAAATATAAAAGAATGTATGCATAAATTAAAAATACTAATATTATTACACATACACAAATAAATTTAAATGTTATTTTACAAAATACTTTTTAAAATCACACTTTAATGCATCGATGTCATAAAATATCAATATGTGTGCATTCGTTATTTTTATTTATTTATTTACAGATACTTAGGATTGAAGTTTGACCAAATCAATGAAAATCTTCGAAAGATTGCGAAAGGTAATGAAAATGGAATATTACATAGTTGGAAAAATCATGCGTTACGATCGCGTCAACGCCAACTTTTACCAATTTCAAGCAGTAAATTTATAACATGGATCGTGATGTAAGAGTTCATAAAAATTTAACTAATTGCAACACAATTTGCTGCAGCATATCGTACATCTCTTAATATTTCGTTTTAGCAGACATCTTCATTTGGAGTTACGTAAAATATCTAACGAAATAAATTCAGTATTTGGAGTACAGTTGACTCTCAAAATGGGATTGTATTTTGGTTTTATAGCACTGTGTTTGTGTGAAATATTCAATGTACTATTTATCAGTACTTACATGAGTAATAGAACGGATTTTCTTGTTGTATGTCTATTTTGGCTTGTAATGTACGCCTTAAAACTCTTCTTAATTAATTTGACATTTGAAAGAGTCAGCGTTAAGGTAATTCTATACTTATATTCAAAATGTCCATATATTTAAGTAATTCCTTGATTTTTAAGTGTCATATTACAATAACATTGCTATATCAAATTTCAGCTATATTTTTCATTTTGCGTTTTAGGCAAATGTAACAGGAAATATTATAAGTGAAATATCCTATTCAATTCGTGATGATGAGGTTCGTGAAAATGTAAGTTTTAATTTATGTTTACTAAAAGTTTTGTGATTAAAATAAATTTTTAAATTTAAGCTAAAACACATGGAATCATAAATATGTTGTATATAGCGCATTATATTAATATAGATATCGCAGTTTCTATTGCAAATGTCTCAAGCTCCACTCAGATTCTACGGGCTTAAATTTTTCCAATTTGGCTACAAATTTTTTCTAGGGGTATATTGCAACCATCTTATAAAAATCTATTTAAAATACTTTAAAATCGATAACAAATATTTTAAAAAATATCTTTCTTTTTACAGTTTATAACATCTGTTGCAACCGTTGTAGTTATATTGATACAGTCACACATACAGAAATAAATATTTTAACAAACATAATAAATGGCAAAATAATGAAGAATAGTGTACATTAAATGTAATTCTTCATCTTCTTTAAGATAAAGGTATGATTTTTACAATTATCTTTTAAATTAATATTTATATGACCTCGTGTATGAATTAAGATCATCTCCTTGTCGGAAAATTAAAAAATTAAAATATTAATATCTACTCTAAATTTACCTCAATTTTATTTCCTTAGTTTTTTCTTTTTTAAACAGTATAATAAATAAAAATAAGAATATAAAAGTCAAAGAAAAATATCTTTTTAGAAAAAATAGCATATCTACCTATGATAATTTTATTGTTTACGTCGTTTTTATACTCTAATGAAAAATTGATTGACAGTAGGTAGTTGCGCATTCGATCTACGCAGATAGAAGGAAAGGAAGATGACCCACATTTCTTTTTCTTTCCGCAGCAAGAAATACAGCGCCATTACTAAGTCTATCCTTTATGTCTATGATCGTTTTTATCAAGTATAACTGCATGGTACAACCAGTTTAGTCAGAAAAAATACGTTATATAAAATCGAAACAGTGTGCGCAATGACTAAAAGTTTTCGATCAGTTTTATCACCGCTCCTGATAATAAGTTGTGTGTGCGGTTTAAAAATTTTCGAGTTCCCAACAGATCATCCAAAACTATGGTTCAGTTTACTATACATACTGCTATTGTGGTCGATTCACTTCCTGCTCTTGATATATGTAATTCCTTATATGTCGTATTATATCACCATATACGTGGTTTTCTTTTGGATTAACATTTTTATAACATTAACTTTAGTTGTCTTTTTAGTGTATTATGATAAGGTACGTAATCGTTCATTAACAGATCAACTTAAATTATTTTCATATATAGCTAGATTATTCAAGATAAATAATTATAAATTTCTTATTAAGTTAAAATTTTCTGTGTCTTATAATATTTATATTTTAATAAATAAAAATGTCATAAAGCTATATAAAACGCTTCGCATCTTGATACAACGTAAATTATTTAGTAGTTTTTCTTCTTTCGTATCTAGTAAAATTATTCCCTAAGAATGTAACAAACATAAGAAAATAATGTTTATTTTTCGAAAAGATCGAATGAAATGTAATATATTCAATCTCTAAAATAATTCCATTTGTCTGTTTCATTTTTTGACGACAGAAATTTAGAAAATGTATAAAAAGAATTGCGATTGTCGACAATACTTTGAAACAACTCGGAACAACAACAAATTATCAAAAACTACACACAAAAATAATATGGCTCATCTTAGGCTGGTTTGTGATAATCATAATAATGAACTATAATGAAGCTCTATGTTTGAGATATCAATATAATCTTAGTATTGTAATAGTTACTTCTGTCCCATGCGTAATAAATTATTGCGCTCATATTAATTTTATTGACGACTTGATTATCATTAACATTCTTGGGTTTGTATATTATTTTATGTATGTCATTATTATTCTAGCAAAGTAATGTGCATAAAAAAAATTATATTGTTATTCATAAAATTTAAGAATTTTTGAATAAGAAGACTGATACATATATAATAAATCTACTTGCATCTCTAATAATATTATTATATTTATCAAATATTTATTTATGTTCAGATACATAGGACTAAAGTTTGATCAAATTAATGAAAATCTTCAAAAGATAATGAGGAATAATGAACAAGTTGGAAAGAATCATGTATTACAGTCGTGTCAAAACAGATTTTTGAGAATTCCAAGCAACAAATACATAATATGGATTGTGATGTAAGACGTAATTATAATATAACATAAATTATAAATTTTTATTCGTTTTATTCAATAAATTCTAACATCATGTTTACGCAGACATCTTCATTTGGAACTATGTAGAATATCTCGCGAAATAAACTCAATGTTTGGACTACAGATGACTTTAAAAATGGGACTGTATTTCGGTTTCATAACAGTAGGTTTCTGTGAAGTATTCAACATGATATTTATCAAAAATTACGTGCAACATATAAGACTGGAATATTATGTCTTTGTCATTATATGGATCTTTATACACGTGTTGAAACTTTTCTTCATTAATTATATATGTGAAACAGTCAGTGCCAAGGTATTGATTTATTCCTACATTGCAATTTAAAATGTATTTTACAGAATTTATTTTTTATGATTGTTTGATTATTTAATATATTAATTAATAAAAAATGAGTAAAAATTAAAGTATCAGAAACATTGAACTATCAAAAACAAATTCAACAGTATTTTGTATATTTTAATATTAGGCAAATACAACAGGAAATGTTATAAATAATGCATCATATTCTATTTCTGATGTCGAAATTCGTGAAAATGTAAGTCTTAATAAAAATTTGCCGATAAGTTTTGAATTAAAAATTTTAATTAAAATTTTTATTTAATTTTTTATTAAATTTTTAATTAAATTTTTTAGAGAAAATGCAGAAAACAATAAATTGTGTATATAAAATAACTTTTCTGTTAATATAGATTTTACAATTTCTATTACAATTGACTCAAGCACCACTCAGATTCTATGGACTTGGACTATTTCAATTTGGTTTCAAATTCCTTCAAAGGGTACGTTGTAATTATGATATGATTATTTATTATGAGTAGTAGAAATTGACTGTAAATATTTAAAAATGAAATTGCTTTTTTAGTTCTGCACATCTATTGCCACTGTTTTAGTTATACTAATACAGGCACATACAAATAAATAAGCGCTATAATAATAAAAATATAATGAATATTATGAGTATATATTACAACTCATATAGATAAATGTCTTATATAATATTGAGTATATAAAACATAATTTCTTTCATATAGGTATGTAATATATTTTAATTTTTATAATTAGCTGAAAATCTATATAATATTCATCATTTATAAAAAATATTGCAAAATAAAATTCAAAGTTTCTATTATATTTTTATAGTACTTTGATATCTATACTTTCTATTTTCTCAAATTATTTTCAAGAAATTTATCAAATAATCATTTTTTATATAAAAACAATTTTAATATATATATATATATATTTAATTAATTAAAATTAATTCTTATTATTTGACATCTCATTGTTATTTTAATACGTGCAATAACTGCGTATAAATATCAAAATAAAACAATAAGCATTTCAAAGAAGCATTATCGATACGTATAATTTCGTTGTAAATGTGTTTGCATGTGAAAGCTAATAGCATATTCATTATCAGACTTTTTTATAGCTCGTAATATAGAAAATTTAACAGATCGATAATTTTAATATGCACAAGTGTATCAATGTGAATTACGAATAAACCGTCTCATTCCATATCCGGTCGACAGTAATAATATAGTTTGCAAACGTGATGATATCCGCTATGACTAAAAACGTTTGGACAGTTCTCTCGCCGCTTCTAATAATCAATTATGTATTTGGTTTAAGAATTATCGAGTTTCCGATAGGTTATCGAAGATTATGGTTCAGCTTCATCTACATATTATCATCTTGGTCGTTGTATTGTTTCCTCATGTGGTATATAACAGGATCTTTAATGACTAAATTTTCCAAAACAAACAATTTTCTTCAATATCTAAACTGTTTAGCAACGTTAATATCAATTGTATTTGGAATATATTATGATAAGGTAAGAAAATATTAGCGCAATATGCACGCGTTACTTTGATATCTATACTTTCTATTTTCTCAAATTATTTTCAAGAAATTTATCAAATAATCATTTTCTATATAAAAACAATTTTAATATATATATATATTTAATTAATTAAAATTAATTCTTAATAAACTGTTTTTAAATAGTCTTATGGTTTGTCTAAAGTAAAGCATTGAGAAGTAAAACTTCTTACATGTATCTAAAAAAATTGCTAAAACCTAAAATACATTGCATACTAAATAACATAAATAATTAACAAACTCTTTTGACACATTTTAATAATATTATTCCTTAAAAGAACATAAAAATATATAGAAATATTTTACATTTTAACACACACTTGTTATTGAAAAACAAGATTAAGTTGCTAGAAAATATGGTAAAATCAAGATTCTAAATATTTATTTGTATTAAAGTGTATTCTGTTACAGAAATTTAGAGATTCTCTGAAAAAACTTGCTATTGTGGACATCACATTAGAAAAACTAGGAACAACGATAAATTATCAGCAGTTACATACGAAAACAGTACGGCTTGTCTTAGGATGGTTTGCGTTAACAATATTAATAAATTTCATGCACATCGTATATTTGGAATATCATTTTAAATATAATACTGCAACAGCTATTTATTTCACATTTATGATTAATCATTGCAGTCATATCAATCTTATCGGCGATCTAACTATGACAAGTATTCTTGGGTTGGTATTTAAATTATATATATATATATATATATATATATATATTTTATATATATTAGCAATATTATGCACACACAAATTGTATAATAAAATATACATATATAATAATTACTATTATACATAAAACATTAAACTTTTCTGCAATTGTTTTTAAAATTTGTACAATTATATACTTGTTAAAAAACGTCATTATTCATTCTTTTTTACTTATAGATATATAGGAATAAAATTTGATCAAGTCAACGAACATCTTCAAGAAATGGCAAGTAATAACAATGGTAAAATAAAACAGGAAAATCAAATGTTGCATCCGTATCAACGCAAATTTTTGAAAATTTTAAATAATAAATGGATAATATGGATTATAATGTAAGAGAATATACATAACTTTAGTTCATATTTACATATAGCAAGAATTAATTATTAAAACATTATATTACAGACATCTTCATTTAGATTTATGTAAAATATCTCGTGAGATAGACTGGATATTTGGAGTACAAATGACTTTTAAAATGGGATGTTACTTTAGTTTCCTGGCTACGAATCTTAGTTCTTTATTTGACCTGATATTTTTTCAAAAATATATTATAAGTTTTGACAATATATTGTTTACAAGTATATGTCTAACATGGTTGTTTCATAATATTTTGAAACTTTTTATCATTAATTACGTGTGCGAAAAAGTCAGTGCCAAGGTATGATTTCTTATTAAAGTTCCAAAAACAATTATTCAAAATCCAATGATTATAATTTATTGTAAAATAATATTAAGTTTTATATTATTAAATTAAAAGCGACTTAAATTTTATTATAGATATTTTAATTGCAGGCAAATGTAACGAAAAATTTTGTAAATAAAATATCATATTCTACATACAACGTTGAAATGTGTCAAAATGTAAGTAATCATATAAGTTTTATAATCAAAAATAAATTGATTTTTTTTTTAATACAATAACAAAAAATCTGCATATTAAATAATCTATTATATAATAATATAGATCACGCAATTGTCATTACAATTGGCTCAATCACCGTTACGATTTTATGGCCTTGGACTTTTCCAATTTGGCTTCAAATTTCTTCAAGGTGTATGTGCAATTATCATATAATTATACATTATAAATAATTCAATCCGCAAATATTTAAAAAGAAAAATATTGTCTTCTATATTTACAGTTTATTACGTCTGTTATGACTGTTGTAGTTATATTAATACAGTCACAAACAAATTAAAAAACATGTTCAAATAGTTATAAACAATAGATGTATAAGCAATATTAAATGGACATTGGCCTACAATATTCGGTATGTAATGTAAATTCTTCTAAATATATTATACAACTATATGTATATATATTGTACTGAATTAATTTTTTTAGGAAACACATCACAAAACGAAAAATCAAAACTTGTTACCCTTACATTGACTATGTTCTTTTTTCTTCATTTGTTATCACAAAAATCTCTGCATAAAATCAATTTTATGTACAAATTCAATATTTAACGGAATTATAATTACTACCAATGTAATTAAAAGCAAAGATCTTTTACAATTATTTCTTATATACACTGTTTAAACGTTTAAAATATTTTTATAGTAAAAACTGCATGATATTGTCCAAAATAAATATTATATCTGTTATTTGAAAATACCTTTTAATATACATCACATATATTATATGCCTGCGCGCGCATATATACATATATGTATAATTACGTATATAATAATATACATTATATATAAATATATATAATCGATATACATATAATTATATATAATTATGTTTTTACATGTGCCATGCAACAATAAAATCATTCAATGCCGGAAGTGATGAAACTTATTGTGAAATATAAACTTCAACAGATCGATTATTCCAATAATTGTTAGTGCCTTAATTGAAATTATGAAGATATATACTACATGATCATTAGAAGAAGTCATCGCGCAATTCCTCAGTCGGGAAACAACAGCAGTTCGAAATCGAAACGGTGTACGGAATGACCAAAAGTATTCGAACAGTTTTAACACCGCTCTTGATAATCAATTATGCATCAGGTTTAAATATTATAGAATTTCCTGTAGGAAACCCAAGAATATGGTTTAGTTTATTATATATGTTGCTATTTTGGTTAATATATTATTTCTTATTAAAATCTATACCACAACAGTATATTGCCGAATACTTCTTATTAGGCGTTTTGCTAGACATTTTGATAACATTAGTGTCAATTGCGTTCGCAGTGTATTATGATAAGGTATGTATGATAAAAATATTGTTAATTATTTACTTATTAACAATAAGCATCTTTAATTGTGTATTTGAATATGATTTAAATATGTCACTTTAAAAAGTTCTTTAAATAATATTTCTACATTTTAACAATGCAAATTATTATAGAGACATATGTATGTATATTCTACATATTATATAAATGCGACACAAATTATTGGTAAAATTTTTTTTAACATATTTAATAATAATTTACAATTAAAAAGATATATCAAATTCACATTTACATATCCTTGAATTCTTCTTTGAAAAAATTACAATCGCTAAAGCTATTAGATACATTAAATAAACTACGTAACTAATTATAAATATCGTACATAAAATTATCTTTGTCTACCTGCATTATCTCTTTGCAACAGAAATTTAGAAATTGTTTAAGGAAGCTCGACATTATCGACAACACATTGCTGAATATCGGAATGACAACAGATTATCACAGGTTATATAAAAAAACAATGTGTCTTATCCTAGGATGGTTCCTAATGATCTCATTAATGACCTATGGAACAGCTTATTTTTCGAAAATTAAGTACGGTCATAGCATGTTAATTGCTACGTGCGCTATGTTTGTGCGAAAGTATTGCTCTTATATTAACATAATCAACGATTTGATTATCGCAAGTATTCTTGGGTTGGTATATTATTGTGCGTATACAAAAATTATTCTAACATAATCACTTGCATTTTAAAAAAATTATATTAAAATACATTAAAAATATATATAAATGTTCCTTAAAAATTTTTAAATTATCGATATAATAATCCACAAGATATTATTACATATTATTTGTTACATTACACTCATTAATTTTTCTTTACATTTTTAGATACATAGGATTAAAGTTTGATGAAGTTAATCAACATCTCTTAAATTTAGCAAAAGATAACAAACGTAGAACGAAACCAAGAAACAGTTCCTTGTACCAACGTAGATCATCTTCACAACCTTCAAACAATGAATGGATGACATGGACTGTGATGTAAGACAGTTTATGTAAATTCTATCAATCGTATAGTTATTTTAAAATAAAACTTGAATATATAATTTTACGCAGACATCTTCATTTGGAACTTCGTAAAATATCTTGTGAAATTGACTCGATATTTGGAGTACAGATGACTTTTAAAATGGGATGTTATTTTTGTTGGTTAGCGATTGACTTGCGTGAAATTTTCGGCGTAATACTCGTCAACAATTATATCACATCTAATAAAACACTATACGCTATTATAATGTTAATCTGGCTTTGTCATAACATTTTGAAACTCTTCTTTCTTAATTACGTATGCGAAGCAGTCAGCACCAAGGTAATAATTTTGCACTCCGCCTCAAAATGTATTAATCTGGAGTTTTTTCAACAATTATCTTTAAAGAATAATTTTATATAATTATCCTAATTAAATTGAAAGAATCACATTCAAATTTTTTTGCATGTTTCAATTTTAGGCAAACGCAACAGCAAATTTAATGAAGAAAATATCGTATTCTACTTATGATATTGAAATTCGTGAGAATGTAAGTCTTCATATTAACTTATTCAGAGTTTTACAAATAAATAAATGTTTTAATTTTAAACTAAATAAAAAATTGTAAATGTGTACATTGAGCAAGTTATTATATTAATATAGATATCATTATTTCTATTGCAAATAACTCAAGCACCAGTCAGATTCTGTGGAATGGGACTTTTCCAATTTGGCTACAAATTTCTTTATGGGGTACGTTATATAAAATATTATATATAATCTGTTACCAACATTTGAATATATATAATAAATATTTAAAGTAAAAATTAATATCTTTCAGTTCAGCTCATTGATTACGACCGTTGTAGTTTTATTAATTCAGGCAATCATGAATAAACAAACATTTTTAAAAAATAACTAATTGTAAGACATTGTGAATCAATTAATACAGTGTAATAATACATCATAATACAAATTACGTACACTAGCAAAACAAAAAAATGGAAAATTATCGCATTTTGTATAAATCATGCAAGAAAATAATTATGTCTCTTGCATATTAAAGACAGTGTCTATATTTTTTTTATAAATAAGTAATAAATATATTATATAAAATTGTTTTTATATATTCATATAAAAACAAGATGTCAATCATTATCCAAACTGTTTAAATTTATCGTGAAATATAAGCTTTAACAAATCGATTATTTCAATAATTGTAAGTAGTAATGCCCTAATTAAAATTGTAAAGATAAACACTATGTGTATTATAATCATTCGATGGAGTTATCGCAACACTCAGTCGGAAAATGAAATGCAGTTCGAAATTAAATCGGTGTACGGAATGACTAAAAGTATTAGAACAGTTTTAACACCGCTCTTGATAATCAGTAATGCATCTGGTTTAAGTATTATAGAATTTTCTGAAGGAAACCCAAGAATATGGTTTAGTTTATTATATATCTTGTTATTTTGGACACTTTATTATTTTTTGTTAAAATCTATAGTAATACATTATATTACCGAATACGTCTTAGGCATTTCGCTAGACATGTTAATAACATTATTGTCAATTGTATTCGGAGTGTATTATGATAAGGTATGTATGATAAAGAATTGTTAATTATTTTCTTAATAATAATAATAAGCACTTTTAATCGTGTATTTAAATATAATTTTAATAAGTCATTTCAAAAGAACTTTTAACTAATATTTCTTCAATTTAATCATGCAAATTATTATAGAGACATATACATTTACATATTATGTAAATACGATACAAATTATAGAACAAATTTTTTGCTTAACATATTTAATAATAATTTATATTATATGTAAAATATAAGAAAATATAAAAACGTAGATATTTGAGAATCGCCAGACAGAATTTAAAAAAGTACAACTCTTTTCTCGACCGTACTGGCAAATATTATTTATTAAATCACAACGTTTCGACCATTCTTTGAGTCCTTATCAAGTGATTTGTGAAAATAAAAATAAAATTATAATTTTTTTTTTCACAAATTACTTGATAAGGAAAAAAAATAAAATTATAATTTTATTTTTATTTTCACAAATCACTTGATAAGTACTCAAAGAAGAGTCGAAACGTTGTGATTTAATAAATAATATTTGCCAGTACGGTCGAAAAAAGAGTTTTACTTTTATAAGAAAATATATCTTTACATTTAAATCTTTAAATTCTTATTTAAAAAAGCTACATTAGCTAAAGTTATTAGCTACATTAAATAAACTACTAATTATATAAAAAATCGTATATAGAATTATCAAATTATTAATTTGTCCACCCACTTTATCTTTTTGCGACAGAAATTTAGAAATTGCTTGAGAAAGCTTGATATCATCGATAACACATTGCACAATATCGGAACGATGACAGATTATCACAAGTTACATAAAAAAACAATAGGTCTCATCTTAGGATGGTTCCTAATGATTATATTAATGAGCTATGGAACAGCATATTTATCGAACACCACGTACAATTATGATACGTTAATTGCTATGTATGCTATCTTTTTGCGAAATTATTGCTCTTATATTAATATGATCAACGACTTGATTATTGCAAGTATTCTTGGGTTGGTACATTACTTTTCGTATACAAAAATTATAACATAATCATGTATATAAATTTATAAAAACTATATTATAATAAATGAAAAATATAAACGTTATTCAAAATTATTTAAATAATCGCGATATGTAGTGTCCCATAGGAAAATGCAGAAACTAATCACCTGTTATTTTTTTAATGCACGCAGATATTGAGAAAACAAAAATTGTGTTAAAAAGAAGAAAATCTGTTGTACATAATGAAAATTCGGCGAATCAAAATTATGGACATAATAGAAATTCAACAAATCAAAATTATGTACATAATAGATATTCGCCAAATTTCAGGGTTCCTTTGTCGGGGTTCGTTTGTCGAGGTACATTTTTGTCAGGATACATTTCATTGGGATACAATTTTCGTCGGGGTACATTTTCGTCGGAATACCACTTTCTCATAAGTACTAAATTTATGTACATAAATTATATTATATTATATTATATTTTCTATAAGAATCTATTGTGATTAAATATCTACACTTTATTAGACTCGTGCGAGACTATATGACCCCCACATCTATCACGCTGCGCGGCTCGCGCAAAACTGATTCTCGAGCGCGGTAACGCGAGCGCGGGTCCGATGGTCACATGACTAGTGGCCATGTGACCACTAGTCATGTGACTACTAGTCATGTGACTACTAGTCATGTGACCATCGGGCCCGCGCTCGCGTTACCGCGCTCGAGAATCAGTTTCGCGCGAACCGCGCAACGTGTTGGATGTGTGGGATGTATTAATCTAACGGAAAGAATTCATATTTTCGCGCGCAAGGCGCGCACTTATTGTGTTGTCTAACAGATATAAATAAAATGTATGTATATCAGTGTGTATATTAGTTTATTTTCCCTTTCAACATAACTTTTATTCTCTCAATAACTGCATGCATTAAAAAATGACAGCCGATTAGTTTTAGTATTTTTCTATGGGACACACTGTATTAAAACTTACAAGAAAAGATAATAAATTTCCATTTTATTTGCAACATGACATTAGCTTTGCTTGAAATTTTTAGATACACAGGATTAAAGTTTGATGAAATTAATCAACATCTTTCAAATTTAACAAAAGATGACAAACGTGGAACAAAATCAAAGAAAATTTCCATGTACCAACATAGATTTTCACAATCTTCAAACAATGAATGGATAATATGGACTTTAATGTAATACAGTTTATGTAAATTCTATCAAAATTGTAATTGTTTTAAACAGTAAACTTTAATATAAAATTAAAAATAACTGTGAGACGACCCAACTGGCTTAAATTAATTCTTATTATTGTTAGTATAAGATATAATAAGAATTAATTTAAGCCAGTTGGGTCGTCTCACAGTTATTTTTAATTTTATTCATCACTGGCGATACAAGATATCTACTATTAATTTAATATAAAACTTGAATATATAATTTTACACAGACATCTTCATTCGGAACTTCGTAAAATATCTTGTGAAATTGACTCGATATTTGGAGCACAGATGACTTTTAAAATGGGATGTAATTTTTGTTGGTTAGCGCTCGACTTACGTGAAATTTTTAGCGTAGTACTCTTCAACAATTATATCACGTCTAATAAAATACTATACGCTATTGTAATGCTACTCTGGCTTTGTCATAACCTTTTTAAACTCTTCTTCATTAATTATGTATGCGAAACAGTCAGCACCAAGGTATTAATTTTGGATTCAGTCTCAAAATGTATTTCTCTGGAATTTTTTGAACAATTATCTTCAAAAATTAATTTTATATAATAATTTTAAATAAATTTAAAAAATCACATTTAAATTTGATTTTGCATATTTCCATTTTAGGCAAATGCAACAGGAAATTTAATGAAAAAAATACCGTATTCTACTTGTGATGATGAAATTCGTGAAAATGTAAGTCTCCATAGTCATTTATTCAGGATTTTTTAATTAATTAAATGTTTTACCTTCAAATAAATATAAAAAATTTGAATTGAACAATTTATATTAATATAGATATCAATGTTTCTACTGCAAATAACACAAGCGCCAGTCAGATTCTATGGAATTGGACTTTTCCAATTTGGCTACAAATTTCTTTACGGGGTACGTTATATAAAATATTATATAATATCAATTTAATTAACAATTAAAAAAGATAATTAATATCTTTCAGTTCAGCTCATCAATTATGACCGTCGTAGTTCTACTAATACAAGCATTAATAAATAAACAAACATTTTAAAGAAATAATTGATATATAATATAATTATAAATAATTAATATACTGTAATAATTATATCATAATACCTGCATATACTAACAAGATAAAAAGGGAAAAAATTTATCAAATTTTCCATAATACGTATAATTATGCTTCTTCCATTAAGATGAATATTTATATTTCCATTATATATATATATATATATATATATATATATATATAATTATGTTCTTATATATCCCATATATATACAAGATGCCATTTATTAATCAAATTATTTAACTTTATCGTAGAATATCAATGAATCAATTATTTCAATAATGTAAGTGCCCTAAGTGAAATTATAAAGGTACATGTTATCATGATCGGTGAAGTTATTGCAATCATGCAGTCGCGAAATAATATGCAGTTCGAAATTAAAACGGTGTACGGAATGAATAAAAGTATTCGAACAGTTTTAACACCGCTCTTGATTATCACTTATGCGTCCGCTTTAAGTATTATCGAATTTCCTAAAGGAAAACCAAGAAAATGGTTTACTCTATTTTATATGTTGTTCTTCTGGTCCATATATTATTTATTATTCAAATCATTAATAATAAAATATACTCCTGAATACTTCCTTCTTACGGGTATTACGCTGGACATTTTGATAACATTATTGTCAATTGTGTTCGGATTGTATCACGATAAGGTATGTATGTATGATAAGAAATTATTAATTTGCTTACTAATAATTCTTTGAAAAAACTACATTGCCTAAATTTATTAATTACATTAGATAAACTACATTATTCATTATAAAAAATCGTCATACCCATAAATGTGAAAGTAATTGTGAGTATTAATTTGCTTACTCTCATTGAGCCTCTTTGTGACAGAAATTTAGAAATTGCTTAAGAAAGATTGATATTGTCGATAACACATTGCTGAATATGGGAACAAAGACAAATTACCACAAGTTGCATAAAAAAACAATGTGTCTTACCCTAGGATATTTGCTAATGGTCATAGTAATGAGTTATGGGACGGCAAATTGGGAAAAAACCGCGGAGGATAAAAATTCTTTAATTGCTATGTGCATTCTCCTCTTACAAAATTATTGCTTTTATATAAACATGATCAACGATTTAATTATTGCAAATATTTTTGAGTAAGTACATTATTTAATATATAAATTATTCAAACGTAACTATGTGTATAAATATATAAAATATCATAATACAGTAAAAAAATATGAATATCATTTAAAATTTTCAAGATATCAATATTAACGAAAGATGAAACAATATGTTTATATGTTTCTTATTACAATACACTCATTAGTTTCCTTCTACATTTTTAGATACATAGGATTAAAGTTTGATGAAATGAATCAACATCTTTGGGATTTAGTAAGACATAACAAACGTAGCACAAAGCAAAGAAAATTTTTGAACATTTTGATGTACAAACATAGACCTTCACAAGCTTCAAGCGATGAATGGATGACATGGATCGTAATGTTAGACTTTATATGCATTTTTTTCCGAATCATAGTTACTTTGAATAGTAAAATTTAATATAGCGTTTATATACAGACATCTTCATTCGGAATTACGTAAAATATCTTGTGAGATCGATTCAATATTTGGGGCACAGATGACTTTTAAAACGGGATGTAATTTTTATTGGTTAGCGATGGACGTGCGTGGAATTTTCGCCGTAATATTTATCAAAAATTATGTCACATCTAGTACAATACTATTAGCTGTTATAATGCTAATACTCTGGCTTTGTCATAACGTTTGGAAACTTTTCTACATTAATCACATATGCGAAACAGTCAGCACCAAGGTTAATTTTGCATTCCGCTTCAAAATGTATTTACCTGGATTTTTTAACAATTATCGAACTATTCAAAATAGTTTTTATAATTAATCTGATTAAATTAAAAGAATTACATTTAAATGTTATTTCGCATATTTTTATTTCAGGCAAATGCAACAGGAAATTTAATGAAGGAAATGTCTTATTCTACTTGTGATGTTAAAGTTCGTGAAAATGTAAGTCTTAATATTAATTATTCAGAATTTTCAAAATAAACCATATTTTAAATTCAAATAACAATACAAAATTATACATAGAACAATTTATATTAATATAGATATCAGTGTTTCTATTACAAATAACTCAAGCGCCAGTCAGATTTTATGGAATTGGACTGTTTCAATTTGGCTACAAATTCCTTTATGGGGTACGTTATAAAATTGTTACCTAATTCTTTATTATAAACAATTAAATATACCATAAATTATAATATTTAAAAAGAAAAATTCATATCTTTTAGTTCAGCTCATCAATTACGACTATTATAGTTTTATTAATACAAGCGGTTATAAATAAAGAAACATTTTAAAGAAATAATTAATACATTGTAATAATACATTGTATAAATAACTTTAAACAGCATAAGCTAATAATATTTGAATTGTAATATATAAAACAATTTCTTTATATATTGTCAAGAAATATGTATTCTGATGTGTAAGATGTACATTGCAGTAATGTTGCAGAATGTGATTATTGTATATATAGTAAGGGATTAATTACTTACATTAATACATAAACACATATATTTTATAAAATTATATAATATTTATAAAAAATTACTGTTTATATGAATTATTCATACGTCTTATTAATAAATGCAACTTTTACATAATATGAGAAAAATTATTTTATACTTTTTTTGTATTTAAGTTTCGTTTTTATCATTTAATTTTTAATACTCTGTTTAATATCTCTCGAATATATGTTCTTATTTTATTCGTTATTCAATATAAAAATAATTCTTTGCATAAACAATTAATATTATTTAAAATGTAATGTACATACAATATTTAACGGTATAATAATTACTACCAATGCAATAAAGATAATAATTTATAATTATATGTATATACACATACATATACTAATTAAAACATTATTTTGTATGTAAAAAATTATTATTAATTAAAGATATTTTAATATAAACCTTTTATTTTATTTGATAACTTTTAAATATATATTATAATTCAAATTACATATACTAACAAAACAATAATAAGAAAAAATATTAAATTTTTATAGAATGTGCAAGAATATAATTATGTCTCTTATATAAAAAACAATGTTTATATTTTCATAATGAGTTAATAATGATTATGCAATATATATACATATATATATATATATATATATATATGTATATAATGTTATTACATATGTTTCAAGTAATAACATTAAAAATGCGATGTTATTCATTATCTGAACTGTTTAAATTTATTTCGAAATATAAACTTCAACAAATCGATTATTTCAATAATCGTTAGTGCCCTAATTGGAATTACAGACGTACATACACATTATCATACACATGATCAATCGATTCGAAGTTACCGCTACCATTCTGTCGGGAAATAAAATGTAGTTCGGAATCAACGGTGTGCGCAATGAGTAAAAGCATCCGAACAGTTTTATCACCGCTCTTAATAATCAGTTATGCATCTGGTTTAAGAATTATAGAATTTCCCATAGGACATCCAAGAAAATGGTTTAGTTTTCTATATATCTCGCTATTTTGGTTAATTTATTATTTTTTATTTAAATCTAAAATGACATTTTTTTATACCAACAAACGTTATACTACTGAATTTTTTATGGGCATTTTAATTGACATTTTAATAACATTAATATCAATTATATTTGGAGTGTATTATGACAAGGTATGTATGATAACAAAATGTTAATTAATTGCTTATTAATAGTAATAAATATTTTCTATGTAATTAAAATGATAATTTTGATACAAAATTGTCTTAAATTTTTAAATAATATTTCTTCATTTAGCAATACAAATTATCATAAAGACATACAATATATCACATTAATGTGAAACAAATTATTGACCATTTCTTCTTCATTTTTAATAATAATTTATTGCATGTAGAATAATATTAGAAAATATATAAAATTTACATTTACCTCTTTCAATTTTTCTTTGACCTGCATAGCTAAGGCCATTAGTTACATTACTAATTATGAAAATCGCTATCCATAAAATTATCAAACTAAGTATTAATTTAACCAGTCCTACCTCTTTGTGACAGAAATTTAGAAATTGCTTGAGAAAGCTTGACATTATCGACAATACATTGATAAATATCGGAACAAAAACAAATTACCACAAGTTACATAAAATAATAATATGCCTCATCCTAGGATGGCTTCTACTGATCTTATTAATGAGCTATGGAGTAGCATGTTGGATGAAAGACGAGTATGGCTATAAAACTTATGTAGCTATGTATGCTATATTTGTACGAAATTATTGCTCTTATATTAACATGATCAATGATTTGCTTATTGCAAGTATTCTTGGGTTAGTGCATTTTTTACATATACGAAATAATTTAATAATTTAAAATTATTCTAACATAATTATAAGCATAAACTCATAAAACTATACTATAAAATTAATAAAAAATGTAAGCATTATTTAAAGCTTATCAAAATATCGATATATTAACTCACAATAAATGATAATAAAACATCTTATTTGTTACATTATATCAATTAGTTTTTTTATATTTTTAGATACATCGGATTAAAGTTTGATGAAGTTAATCAACATCTTCTGAATTTAACAAGAAACAACAAACGTGGATCACAACTAATTTGGGAAGTTTCTATGCATAAATCTTCACAATCTTTAAACAATGAATGGATGACATGGATTATAATGTAAGACGCTTTGCGTAAATTTTATCAATTGTAATTATTTTAAACTGTAAAATTTAATATAGCGTTAATACACAGACATCTTCATTCGGAGTTACGTAAAATATCTTGTGAAATTGACTCAATATTTGGAGCACAGATGACATTCAAAATGGGATGTAATTTTTATTGGTTAGCGATCGACTTGCGCGATCTTTTTAGTGTAATACTTCTCACCGATCAAGTCGCAACTAATAAAACACTATTCATTATTATGTTGTCAATCTGGCTTTGCCATAATATATTAAAACTCTTCTTCAATAATTATGTATGCGAAACAGTCAGCATTAAGGTATTAACATTACATTCAGCATCAAAATATATTTATCTGGTTTTTCAACAATTACTTAACTTTATTTAATAATAATTCTACATCTTTTCTAACTAAATTTCACAAAATTACGTTTAAATGCATGTTCCTATTTTAGGCGAATGCGGCAGGAAATTTAATAAAGAAAATGTCTTACTCTACTTGTGATGTTAAAATTCGTGAAAATGTAAGTTTTAAATTAGCTTTTACTTGAACATCATTTAAGTTTGAGCAAAAATTAAAAAAGTGTAAATGTATATATTGAGCAGTATATTTTATTAATATAGATATCAGTGTTCCTATTGCAATTAACTCAAGCGCCAGTTAGATTCTATGGAATTGGGCTTTTCCAATTTGGCTACAAATTTCTTTTTGGGGTAGGTTGTTTAAATATTATATAATTATCTATATTACGAATAATTTTAAATATACAATAAATACTAAGAAGAGAAATGAATATCTTTCAGTTCAGTTCATCGATTACAACCGTTGTAGTTTTATCAATACAGGCGATTGCAAATAAACAAACATTTTAAAGAATTGACGATTAATACATTATAACAATACCACACACACATTGTATAAAAAAACTGTAGAAAATAGTGACCAATAATATTGTAATAAATAAAATAATTTTTCTTAATATTTTTAACAAAACTATTTATTTTGGAACTTAAAGTGTACATTTAACAATATTGTAAGAAAATACTGTAGTAGAAGAGATAAATTCTCATTATATATATATATATATATATATATATATTGTATATGTGTGTGTGTGTGTGTATAATTATGCATATGTCCCATAAATAAACAAGATGTCATTCGTTAATCGAACTATTTAAATTTCTCGTGAAATATCAACGAATCAATTATTTCAATAACGTAAGTGCCCTAATTGAAATTATAAAGGTACATGTTATCATGATCGGTGAAGTTATTGCAATCATGCAGTCGCGAAGTAATACGCAGTTCGAAATTAAAACGGTGTACGGAATGAATAAAAGTATTCGAACAGTTTTAACACCGCTCTTGATTATCACTTATGCGTCCGCTTTAAGTATTATCGAATTTCCTAAAGGAAAACCAAGAAAATGGTTTACTCTATTTTATATGTTGTTCTTCTGGTCCATATATTATTTATTATTCAAATCATTAATAATAAAATATACTCCTGAATACTTCCTTCTTACGGGTATTACGCTGGACATTTTGATAACATTATTGTCAATTGTGTTCGGATTGTATCACGATAAGGTATGTATGTATGATAAGAAATTATTGATTTGCTTACTAATAATTCTTTGAAAAAACTACATTGCCTAAATTTATTAATTACATTAGATAAACTACATTATTCATTATAAAAAATCGTCATACCCACAAATGTGAAAGTAATTGTGAGTATTAATTTGCTTACTCTCATTGGGCCTCTTTGTGACAGAAATTTAGAAATTGCTTAAGAAAGATTGATATTGTCGATAACACATTGCTGAATATGGGAACAAAGACAAATTACCACAAGTTGCATAAAAAAACAATGTGTCTTACCCTAGGATATTTGCTAATGGTCATAGTAATGAGTTATGGAACGGCAAATTGGGAAAAAACCGCGGAGGATAAAAATTCTTTAATTGCTATGTGCATTCACCTCATACAGAATTATTGCTTTTATATAAACATGATCAACGATTTAATTATTGCAAATATTTTTGAGTAAGTACATTATTTAATATATAAATTATTCAAACGTATAACTATGTGTATAAATATATAAAATATCATAATACAGTAAAAAAATATGAATATCATTTAAAATTTTCAAGATATCAATATTAACAAAAGATGAAACAATATGTTTATATGTTTCTTATTACAATACACTCATTAGTTTCCTTCTACATTTTTAGATACATAGGATTAAAGTTTGATGAAATGAATCAACATTTTTGGGATTTAGTAAGACATAACAAACGTAGCACAAAGCAGAGAAAATTTTTGAACATTTTGATGTACAAACATAGACCTTCACAAGCTTCAAGCGATGAATGGATGACATGGATCGTAATGTTAGACTTTATATGCATTTTTTTTTTAATCATAGTTACTTTGAATAGTAAAATTTAATATAGCGTTTATATACAGACATCTTCATTCGGAATTACGTAAAATATCTTGTGAGATAGACTCAATATTTGGAGCACAGATGACTTTTAAAACGGGATGTAATTTTTATTGGTTAGCGATGGACGTGCGTGGAATTTTCGCCGTAATATTT